ACGTTGTACATAACTTGGAGATCAACAAGAGCATTGCCCTGAAGATTAAGCTCCTCTTTCATGCCCGAGGTGTACGCGTTATCTATAGCCTGTTAACCCGAGAAATACCCTAAAACTAGAAAGGGCGGCACATACTGACGTTGGTCTGGTCAAGATTCTTGACCCAGTACGAAATCAAGCAATACGAAGTAATGAGTAAATCCAGCTTCAAAATATATCTCCTCTCTTCCGGCGAATCATTTCTCGTCGAACCAATGATACCACTTGTGATTCAGTCCATTGCGTTCGTACAAGTCTCTGTATTCGTACTCGTCGAAAAACTTGTACCAGGGCCTTTCTTTGGCAATGGCTTGACAGAGAGCAATGCCTTCTCGACTGACCGTCCTTTCTCGGCGCCGGTTTCAATGTCAACTGCAGGACTACTTGTCGTCGACATTATAGTGCTGATATTACTTTGCGCGAAGAAGGCAACAGCGATACAAATTATTCACACGGACTATGGTGCCATATATACTCTGGGGCAGGGACAATTCGCAGGAGATCAAAAGTTTTCGACTCTCGCCGGGTGTCCAGTGAGGAAGCCGTTCGGTCGTATGTAGCAAAATGACGAAATCAGAGCACACATGACGCATGACACTGTCTGCAGTCGAATCTGTTTCGAACACTCGGACCGTCTGTATGGGCCAAAAGGACTGGGCTCACGCAATACCCCTATAGGGTAGCAGAAATTCGACAATAAGCGACGGCCGTGGTTGATAGTACTGCGACGCACAGTCTCCCGGCGGGCATTTGTCGCAATCGTCTCGCACTTGAAAGCGCTCGTAATTGCCGCTGCTACTGCCGCACTAGAATCCCGGCTGCATTGCAGAATGCGTAATTCCAACCACAGAAACGTTGGCCAACTAGACTTGACTCGTTAGTCGTCCTGATATCTTATCAATCAACACTGATCGGGTAGTCTGACAATCGACACGCTGCCATCTTCTCAACCTCGCAATATCGCAAAAGCAGGAAATTAAGCTGCAAATTTTAATATATCTTTGTATATCGAAACCAACGTCGCGTACTCGGCAATTCTTCAGGTCAACATACTGAAGTGCTATACACTCCCTGCCCTGTGCCAGGGACAAATCAATTAGACTCTGATTCGGTGCAGTAGCGCCGATGGCAAATCATACCTGCTGATTTCGCAAACCTCGCCAAAACTCAAGATAATTTGATTGTCGTCGCGCGCGGGACGAGTGTGAACAGTATGACAGCGGCCAATCGATGTACGCCTGATATATTTCTGACCCATAAAACACTTTTCAGGACGTTTTACACTGTCACACAACGTTCTCAGCCTATATTTCATTCCGATCTTAAAAAAAATTCATTTCATGTCTGTAATTTGATCGATTATCTATTAATCTTCGGTATTTCCAATGCAAACGACAATCATTATATCATAACTGTCGTTAGCAATACTTTCGTCCCGTAGACAGCCCGAGTCAGCTCATATATGCCCTAACCCGATGACACCAGTATCGAATGGAGTTCAGCATGTCTCCACTCCTACAGAATTATCGCCTTATGGAACGTGAATATACTTACCAAAATTTGAACTTTTTTCCTTCCAACTTGCAACTTGCAAAGTCGATTGCCATACAATACCATTCCGATTAATGGCACGCAACATCTTTATCACTCTCAGAAATGCACGCTGCCCAGATCTCCTCGGGCTCAAGTTCCTAGCTCTGATCAGTCGTACTACTACTACTGAGAGAAATGACAAATACTACGCTTCTGAGGCCGTCTCAAGCTCAGGTGCAATAGAATAACTGCGGCTCAACGTTTCAGTTCACTTTTAAGTACAAACTAACCCCCCAAATAGCGTGCTTTTCACAGCTATGTACGTGCTGATCAAGGCACACTTTTAGCCGCGTCACACGCTCCTTATGGTCGTGCCACGCCACCCGCCGGCAATTCGGCGAGTCTTAAAAGTGGGTCTATTTAAGGTTTTGTAATCATTTTATGGTCCAAGTCCAAGGAGTGACCAGGAATCCAAGCCTAGTTGAAAATGTCTTGATTTATTCTCACCAAAGCAAAGCATGTCTGTCCACTCTCCGAGCTGATGTGCCCTATCCTCAGTGATGATAGCTGGTACGATAGAATATCTAGGGACAACAGTACAGAGACTCAACACAGCAAGCGAGATATGAAAACAAGTGATCAATGTCGTCCTACTAACAAGCGCATGCACAACTTGGTCAGCTCAGGTTATTATTTTGTAACTCGGACCCCCTATTGATGGACCATTGACGATAACCCGCATATTCGGGAACAAATATTTCTACGGGCTGAAGTGCATTACCCCATCACTCATAATCGAGGCGTATACGACAAGATAGCTTGGGATGCGTGCCGGTGGATTCGTAAGTGGGTGGGCACCTGCCGGTGCTTTGACCGCAGGAAGCGATGTTGGACACATTCCTCTTCTTCAACAACTTTGAAATTATCAGATTGGGTGTGATTTGACTAAATAATAGCCAGTTGCATTTCTTCAGCGGAGAATCTATGCGCTTGATGTGGATTGGTGTGTAAATTGCAAGATGGTGTAGCTTGGACGATTTTCTCCTGCCAATATCTTTGGTCGCAATCCGGGTCACCGGCCCTTATATGCCTGCACTTCAAGTCGGCTAACATGCTCAGAATCTGGTGCCAACATGACATGCAATGATGACGTCAGCCGAATTCCCAAGAGAAAGTTTCTGCACCACCACAACTTCCCAGGAAGCCTATTGAGCGATATACAATTAGATCACAGTTTCCCCATTTGGATTACATAGTGGTTGTTAGTTTGGGTGGCAGTACGGACTCAATTAATATTGTGGTTCGGCTGGTCATAGTTTGAATGGTGCAGTTGGTCTTATCGCAAATAAATTGTGCCTCGCACTGGCGCCGGGACCACACGATGATGAGCCGCACGAAAGACGGGTCTTATCAGTTGAACAGCGAGGGCCTGTTGTCATGATGACCTACAAGATATGAAGACATAAAGCCTTTGATAGAGATAAATCGATTTCAAATAGCCTTTTGAACTCCTTAGACTAGTCAATCTAGATCAGGCCGATTTTCGGCTGAGAATATGTATTGATACCAAACTTCAATAGACGGCTGTCACCTGCATGCTATAGAAGTGCATTAGCTGGATTTATTAGGCATCGGTCTATCCGCTTAAACACCGCAATATGTCCTATTCAGACGAAGCTTGCTCCCAATGACTCAATCCATCTTCCCAGGACAAAGTGACATCGCCGCTACCTAAATGCCAATAAATAGTTTCTCGAGAAGCAATCCTTTTACAGGCTGCAGCGTACAGCAGCAGCCAATAGCGGCTGCGTCAAAGTCTTCTATGCGGCAGCAGATCGATCCCGAGCACAACGCAGCCTCATCTATAGCAAATCTAGACAGCCCGCCGCCAGCATACATTCCTGCCCGGCAAAGAGACCTAGAGGCCAATATACCGCCTCCATACGAGCCAGTTCGAGACAGGTTTACTTATACGGACAATGTGCCGCTCCAGGAACTGCGACCTGTCGACGGACTTCGTCCTCTAGCAACCGCAGCATCGGCTGGGAACGATGACGAGACCTTGTTCGACTATTCAAAACCAAGATTTGCAATATGGGATAAGACGACGACGAAGAAGGGAATGGCATATACGCTACTTGTGTTTTTCGCCATCAGTGCAGTTTTTACCGTAATCGGCATGATCCCGCTCATGATATCTGCGTCTCATCGTTAGAATTAGCGACGGAACGGATGAGATTTGTAGGTAGAGGTTAAGAATTTCAGCGTATTATTATGATAATAAATTGTGGAGCACCATCGCTCAGTTTCATTGTAGGTTACATAATTGGATGCTATCGTAAATAAAAAGACCATACATAATATCAAATACATCCAACGCAAGTCCGAGTCTGGAGTCTTGACGACGGTTGAGCAGCAGCTAGTGAATCTGTTGACTTTGTATGGCGTATTGTCTACATGATATATTCGATATACATTGAAGCAATAATATCGGAGTACTAATCGACGCCTTATATTGGGAGTGTATAAATTCATTCATTAACCAATGTGACGGCAGCTAGCGATTTCAACCTCATACCAATTTCGCAAATTGACCCATCTCATCCACGTCACCAACTAATGTACAGGTATATTCCACGATCGCAGCTCAACAATTTCATTTGACATCCCTCAAAATGGCGGCACAGCCGCACGCCATCGCTGAACAACGTGGAATTTGGACGGAGTCAAGTAGGGATGGAGGCCAAGCGCCAAGACGTCTGCGTGACTGCGTAAAGCACATGTTCTGGGGTCAACTGGTCGTGGGGGATGAGGAGTCGGCGGGCGAGGCGGCCATGGCTTTGGATCGCTGTATTCTCTGCTCGAGACCTCGACGTCAGAGCGGAGGTTCTGCATAGTTGATGTCAAGTCGAGAGCGTATAATGGATAGCAAGAACAACTAGTGAAGGAGGAGAGTCTTGCCATTGCAAACACATTGCGGCAGACAGACAGACTGTTATATTTCTGACTGGGGGAGATTGCGGGTTGTGCTAGATGGATGGAGCGTGGGGTCGCACGAACCACACCGGGATTACCCCTTCGCTAGTCGGAACCGTGATTGTTATATTCACGTCGTCTGCGCCTGTCAGTTGTTCGTCGCTTATTTTGTTCCTTACTATGGAGGAGACTCATTGTATCGGATTCTATCAAATCTTCGAATGAGGCTTGGACAATGACGACAGAAAAATTCACGTGTCGGCAATGGGGAAAGCCATAATTTATCGCAGTGCGTTACACGTGTAACAGAAAGACTGACAATCTCTGGCGCAGAGGAATCTTTAGTGTCAAATTATTCTTGCCTCTAGACAGTTGGCCAAAGACATCTTCTCAGCCGATTTACTATTCACGATTACATATTACCACAATTTAAGAAGAAGAATCTAAAAAAAGGGCTCAACCGGGAATTGAACCCGGGACCTCTCGCAAATCGACTTAGGGTGAAACGCCCTAAGCGAGAATTATACCACTAAACCATCGAGCCAATCTTGGTCACAATCGATTGTGGGGCCCCCATCTCGATCTACTGCAGCTGACAAATCGCTGACATGTAGAGATTTCGCTAACTAGCTAGCTATTAATTCTACCAAAGAGATTTCGCTAACTATTAATTCTACTAAATTTATTTCAAAACACATTTTAAATTGTCTCGAGCCTAAAAAATTAAACGGAGTTTGTCTATGATCATTTAAACTCATTACAGCGATTGAAGAAAAGGGATTATGGACGGATGCGTACAGTTTTGCGTCCAACTTTAGTATAAAAATGATTCCCTTAAATAATGATATTAATCATATTTCCCTCGGTTTTTCTGCACAAGAAAGGAGCGGAAATATGAAAATAGTTTTATTTTGGTGTGTGGGGCGATATCTCAAACAAGGTGTAAAATGATAAAGCCGTCATTAAGGATGAGCCGAGAAGTCCGGAAACCCGCCCGGCCTTAGCCATCGTCCTTCACCTCAAAGTAATTTTTATTCGCGCCAAGACCCTCGGTCATCGCAACACACCTCTTCTATCTCGAATATCTATTATCAGTAAGATGGCGTCGATGGGTGGATCATTTGGACAAGGTAAGACTTGGCTTGAATCGCGCAGTCGGTATTTCGATTAGTTCTGGGATATTGAGGGACTTTACAAGGAGCCAATGCCGAGCCGCTAACTTGTCATCATATATAGCACCCCCACCCCGGCGGTTGACCCTCACGGCTGACGAAAGGACAACTTACGGTCAATTATTCAAATCATTGGATACAGAATCTCTGGGAGTTGTCACCGGGGAGGCTGCCCGGACTTTGTTCGAACGATCCGGCTTGTCCCCCCTGGTTCTTGGAAGAGTATGTGGCTCATCATATTCAAACGGATCCGCTGTACTACCACGTCATTGATCCGGCATCAATTATTTCTCGGCTCGAGACCTTGCTAATAGCCCCTAGATCTGGCAAATTGCCGATGATCAGAATAATGGATTCTTGAACCAAACTGGATTCGCGATTGCGCTCCGGTTGATTGGTTATGTTCAGAGCGGACAAAGACTTGCCCCTGAGCTTGCTTCGCAACGTATGTTTCATCGCATTATTGCTCTTACTTGTTTGTTTGGTCATGAGCTGGTCGCTGATATGATTCTGCGATTTAGCTGGTCCACTGCCAAGATTCGAACAGGTGCCTGCGCCAGGGGTTCCACCTTTGAACCCGGTAGAACGTACTCGATTCGTGCAATTGTTTGAAAGTAGCACTTCTGATAGCTTATTGTCTGGTTAGTAATGCTAATTGAATCAAATTGTCCCTCCTAACCTAACAACGGTAACTAGGTGAGCAGGCTCGAGAGATTTTCGTTCGCGCAAGGTTGCCGACCGAGACGCTGGGACAGATCTGGAATCTCGCAGATGTACACCATCGCGGTGCATTGGATGTTATTGAGTTCGTTATTGCCATGCACTTGATCCAATGCACCCTGAACGGCACCTTGCCCGCTCTTCCACCTTCGGTTCCGCCCGCGCTACTAGCTGCTGCTTCCTCTGTCCCTGAAGCCGGGCGTCCATCGTCTCGCACTAGTACTAGACCTAGCATTGCCCCTCAAATTCCGCCACCTCAGCACCAGCATCAACAGCCACCGGCTCCGCGCCAGCGTGGTCACCAATACACTGGTGGCCGGCAGTCGCCTGCGCCAAGCCAAGTTCAACGACAGCTGACGGGCACCTCCGCTGTTTCTCACCAGAGCTTTGGCGCTCCTGCACGTGTCGGATCGCTTCCTCCTACTGACGAGTGGCTCATCACTCCTGCCCAGAAAGAACATTATGATAGCATTTTCGCTACCATAGATCGGGATAACAGAGGATTCATTGGAGGTACGTTTTTATAACAGTGAGTCTGGTAATTGTTGTTAACGTTGGGGTAGGTGACGTTGCGGTTCCATTCTTTATGACTTCAAAACTACCGGACGACGTCCTGGCTCAAATATGGGACATATCTGATATCAGAAATACCGGTGAGTTGTCCAAGGACGAGTTTGCTGTCGCCATGTATCTCGTCCAGCAAAAGCTCACGGGTAACGAGCTTCCTCAGACCTTGCCCCCGCTCTTGGTTCCGCCTTGGTTGCGAACAAGGAGTCCTGCAGCTGCTCCTAATCCGGTGTTTTTACCAGGAAGCGCACCTGCATCCGTGTTCGACGCACCCTCACAGCAATCTCCTACGCTGCCGACCCAATTTTCTCAAGCAAGAGGCGAATCTGCTCTACTAGATTTGTTTGACCTTGACGATTCGGCCTTCGCCTCTCCTACATCTTCCACAGCTCCTAGCGCGCCAAGCGCACCGGGCGCACATGCAACTGCTCCGGTAATCCAAACTTCTGCGCCGGCTAAGGGACAGTCACCAGTACCACCACCGCCGTCATCTTCTACGCCATCGGCTACAACTTTCGGTGCAGTTTCGACCCCACTATCTCCGAGCGTAACAGGAAGAGCTCCGTTCATTCCATCTTCTGCCTTCGGACAATCTATGCAGCAGCAACTGATCTCGCAGTCGTCGGTTCCTCCGGCGCCACCAATTCCGTCCGCCCCGACACCTGCCAGCGCCCCCCCGCCGCCAGTCCTTCGTTCTCCAGTTTTGTCAAAGTCGTCCGCAGCCACATCTCCAGTCGTTGCGCCCCAACAGTTCTCGGGGCCGCCGCCCACAACTTTCCCACGAGCTGCGCAGTCAATTGTGGCGCCCTTGTCGAGCATATCGTCGGTTTCGGCACCGTCAACTATTTCGGGGAATGAAGATCTCCTATTGGGCGATGACGATATCAAGGAGAAGATGGCATCAGAGAAGACACAGTTTGGGAAGCTTTCCACCGAGATCGGTTCACTAACGTCTCAGACACAAGCGCTCAAGGAGAAGCGCGCGAAAACTGAGGCGGAGTTGGCGAAGATGGTCGCTCTTCGTCAGGATATTGAAGGCAAACTGAAACAGCTTCATGGTGTCTACGAAAGCGAAGCTGCGAAGGTCCGGGCTGTCGAGCAACAACTAGCTACATCTACGAACGAAACTGCCAAGTTGCGACAGGAATACGCTGTTTTGGAGAGCTCGGTTCATTCCGTACAGGTGCAATATCAGGAAGTCATGTCGAATCTCGAAACTGACCAAAACGAGAACGCTACGTTGAAGGAGAAGATAAGGTTGGTGCACGAACAAACTGCCCAAGTGCAGGAAGCGCTGGAGAAAGCTAAACGGGATGTTCGCCAGCAAAAGGGTCTCGTTGCCATAAACAAGAAGTCGTTGACAAGTGCGGAGAGTGAGTTAGAAAAATCCCAGGACGAGCTTGATGATACACAAGCGCAAGCTGAGATCGCCGGAACAGCTTCTACGGCCAGCTACCCTGAAGATGTCGCTCGCATGAGCAACATGAATCCGTTCCATCGATTCTCGAGCCCATCCCAGTCGGAGTTGTCGCTTGACATGTCTGATCGCAATACGATGCTCCCTGCTACAGTCGCAGCTTCGGTACCTGCCTCTGATGCACCATCCGTGCCGGCGTCACCACCAGCAGCCGCGCCGGCATCAATATTTGAGAATATGTTTGCGGATTTGCAGCGCCCGCCCTCACAGGCATCACAACCCGCTATTGCTTCACCCGTTGTCAGAGCGCCATCGGTGGAGGAATCCGAGACCTACTCTCTGCCACGAACAGGTTACGAGGATGACTACGATGACCAGATTGCGTCGTCTCCGGCCACAACGACGACCGCTGCGACAACTCACCTGTTCAACGGCGCTACCAGTCTGAGCGGACCAGTTGGGTCTGCGGGCTTGGTAGGCGGTCTTCTGGCTGCCGAAGTCGAATCAGTTTCGTCGTCAGTCGTTAACAACGCTCCGGAATCTGTTCGCGAAGGATTCTCGAGACCAGAGTCTCCGACTCTGCATTCGCACACATCATCCGTGTCTGCCGTCACCGCGTCTGAAGGTGGTGAGCTACCAAGGGAAGTCGATTCTGAGAACTTGGTTGCCTCGGCCGATGAGACATCACAGCCATCTTCGCCACCGGCTCCAGAGACTATTGCAACAGAAGGATTGCCAACTGGGTCTGAGTTACCGACTTCCGAGCCGTCTGGGCCGCCAGCGGAAGAAGAGGCGAACGAAGATGAATCGGATCCATTCGCGTTGAAGCTTAAGCAGAAACATTTTGCTGGCACGAAAGAGGACTTTGATGCTGTGTTTTCCGGGCTCGGGTTTCTTCCAAAGAAGAATTCCATTGAAGAGACGCGAAGTGAGACATCTAGCGGTCGTCCTTTTGCCACGGAGTTCCCGCCGATTGAGGATCTGCAGATTGATGCTGAATCGTCGTCTGAGGAGGAGCCCGAAAAGCCAGCTGAGCCGGCAAACTCTGCCCCGTCGGAACCTGTCGTCCAAGCTGTCGCAAATGCACCAGAGTCGGACGCGGTGCTGGGTGTGCCATCGGAGCCAGAGCCTGCCGCTTCGGCACCTCCAGCTGATATTTTCGCCTCCTTCGAGGACAGCTTTGCATCTGCACCTATCGCAGAGATCGCGCCTTCCTCCCCTACAAAATTCTCAACATCTCCATTCACACAGTCATCTCCTGTTGGTTCGTCTACCAGCAAAGACGTACAGGATTCATTCGACGCTGTGTTTGCGTCGTTCAGTGTTCCGCCTTCAGCGCCATCGGCACCTGCGCCCGCACTGTCGTCGTTGTCGCCGTCCGCACCGCCTTCAGCACCAGCCATCACGTCGTTCGACGAATCATTTCCTTCTTATCCTGCGGCATTTCCATCCTCTCCCCGACCGCAAGCAGTTGCTTCCCCACCAGTAACGTCACAGGGACCCCCTCTACCCCCCAAAATCCCACTCTCGGGAACGGACTCCCAGGCACTTGGCGCGTTTGATGACTTTGATAATGCATTCAGTGGCTTAGAAGACGCGAAGAAAGTCACGTCCTCGAATGGCAAGGCCAACACCGCGGTCGAAACTTCTTTTGACGCCGCATTCGAG